ATGCAATCAACTTCACTAAGCATCCTTCTAGGTGATTGAATGCATATATGTCCCTTACAATGACTAGCGGTGGCCTACCGATGTATCGAGCAATTTTGCTATCCTCCCAGACAAGTCCGGTACCAATTTGTTGACTCCGAAGAGATGGAAGGCCTGTTGGGCCATGGAGGTGAGGATCGAATCCACGTGTGTGTGTTGCAGGGCGCCTCCAACCACTGCTCCACACGCGCCCTTTGCCCCACAATATAGAACATATGGAGCTTATACCTATTGAACGAAACATTCCCTCCATAACTGTGCTATGGTACCAACTCCTGAACTACATTAATCATTGATAAACAGTGGATAGCTATCGATGAAGTGGCATCACATACAGTGTAAAGCATTATTTTTGAGAGGCAGTCCGTTGTTTTCCAATTTTCAATCGCTGGTGACTCTAAGGTATTGTTTGGAATGAGAGAATGTGAAAACTAAAGAATAAACATCGTAATATTCCTTGCAGAACCTATAGAAGCCCTTTAAGTCCTGACGGCAGTATGGCTCTATAGTGGTCGAGTGCCTTTCTTCATACACAAGAGCTGCATGTGCATCATCGAAAACACAGGAGGGCGTGTAGAAGACCATAGAGCATACATAGGATAGAGGGATCACAGAAATTTCTCCAAGATGCTGAGAGAATCCGACTACTTTGAACAGAAAATTGAACAACTCTGGTTCTTCTCCTCCAACTCCACGCGATTGGTGTTATCCTCATCAACTTCAACAGCGAATCTCCTTTCGTTGTCAGAGGAACTAGAGTTTTACTATTACAAATCTGAAACCTACATCAAGAACTCCGTAATCTCCATACACGCTCAAACTAATACACATAAAAAAGAGATAAAGAGGGACGAATAGAAAGAGAGGAGGAATAAATATAACACTAAATATAAGTGCTAAAATATAGCCATAATGTTGCCGAGATATTTGCAAAACTCTGAACCGCAGGTGTTTGCGGTGGGAACGAACGCGCTATTGTCCTTTCCGGGCAGTTGATCTCTCCCATCAGCAATCACCCGTCAGTGGGATTGACCTGGGGAGCCCAAATCGGCAATGAACCCAGTTAAGCTGGGGTTTTAGTTATAATCACAATCTTAACCGTTTTATTTACTGCCTACTCTTTCTAATGGCAAGGTATAATGCGAAATATAACTTCAACGATGCTGAGATATTTGCAAAACTCCAGGCCGCAAGTGTCTGCAGTGGGGAACGAACGGTGATTGCTGATGGCAGAGATCGATAGAACTAGCTGAAACATTCGAAACAAAGGACCCGCATGGTGTGGTGGTGAACGCGTTACTCTCCGGAAAGGGCCGCAACGCGTTCGTTCCTACCGCATACACCTGCGGTCCGGAGTTTTGCAAATATCTCAGCATCTTGCGAAATATAACTATTATAAAGCTGAAATATTTGCAAAACTCCGGACCACAATAAAAAAGGTTAAGATTGTGATTATATCTCAGCATCGTTGAACTTATATTTCGCGCTATACCCTGCCATTAACAAGAGGAGGCAATAAATAAAACGGTTAAGATTGATGCTGAGATGTTTGCAAAACACTGGGCCGTCGGTGTTTGAGGTGGAGGAACGAACGCGCTACCACCCTTTCGGGTGCTAACGCGTTAACCACCACACTATGCGGGTCCTTCGTTTCTTCTTCCTCTCAACATTGTTGACTACACACTCCAGCTTCGTTTAAATTACAGCCATCAAGATTCTATAGTCCTTACGCTAAAAAAGACAAGGGTAAAAGAACAGTCCTAATAAAGACGAAAATGGCATGTCTATGTCAACGCTTCTTTTAGACGCTCTAACAATACGTGGTAACACCTGTTCTTGGGACGAACTTCAAGTGGTTTGTCATCTTTGAGACGTCAGTGAGAACGTATAAACTTTCCTCTCGTTCACCGAACCCGTCAACAACCTGTGATGAGGGCCTAGAAACATTTTAGCGTTACTACCTCAGAAGCATATACCTTTATACCTCGTGGGCTGGACGCTATTAGCTACAACACGGAAGAATGAAACTAAGCAGTCTTTTTTGAAGTGGTTATCACACTTTTCAAACGCCATATTTCACATCAAGTTTTATGCTCTACAGAAACCACGACCAGGACTATAAACAGTAGTTTCGAAACGGAGCATCATTTAGCCTCTACGTGAGTAATCAACATGCCTTTCTCGATTGTTAAACTCGACCCTACCTCGAGCTCATTAAGCCTCTTATCACTCTGGTGTCGGTAATTGGCGCCAGATTTGTTTAGAAAAATTTCACTATCTGTTATCCAAGTCGGAACACTGTAACCCTCCTGTCTCAGGCGTCCAGAGAAAATTGGCTCAAATAGCATTTAACACATGTGGTAACCAAAAATCCTTAAGCATCAGCCGAAGCCACACGCAAAATGTCCGGAGACCATGGTTGATGATGAATGCAAGGAAACGAATCAAATGCGAAAAGTGCTGTGATCCACACATTACGCTTAAATTGTTAAGCTTACTCGTGGTTAGCATGAATCCTTGTTCGGCGAACATTTCGATGTCTTTGTATTGTTCAGAGCTAAATACATTCGCGTCGGTGGTCCACAGCCGTTCGCACTCCCTATTTGGGTTATTGTAGTCCTATGGTGTTGAATCTGCTGGAGTGGAGCATCACTCGAATGATAACTTCACACAGGAGTGCACTTTTTACACAGGGTTGGGTTTTTAGTGATTAGCTTCTGATTGTCAAGAATAAGCATTAGTAATTTAATGATGAAGTCTCCCTCTGCTCAAATAAAAGATTCTATCGCAGTGCTGATGACGGTACAGATAAAGTCGAATTAGATTTGTACTGTTATTACTTGGAAGAAAACATAAAACCTGAAGGTGCTCGGCACTAATTCGTTATGGATGTATCATGCATTCGGCGGAATTCGTATCATCGTACCCCTCAACTGAATGCATATTCGCTTCATAAACGATTTGTGCGAGCCTAGCGAAGTATAAAGTCAGGAGTCAGGAGTGCCTCATTATCACACGTGATATCGGACAGTATATAAACCTGTCATTCTGATGGGAGGGGCACATTACGCTTCCATGTGAATTCTATGCGGTCGGTCTTCACAGGACATACTCAGTGGAAGACTCGTAGACAGCGGTGAGTGTGCAGAGCTGTGTTAAATGTGATTGAAATCTTGGTTTAGCGTTTTCTCTGTTTGGTTATGGAGGTGATTGGCCGAATAGATTGCTGTCAACTTGACCTTTCCAGGCTCTGAAGAAGGCAAGATCCGCCGAAACGTCAGCTTGTACGTAAATAAAGAAATGAAGTAGCACCTCGTGTTTGCTGAACAGAAGTAGAAAGAATTATAAAGTCAGGGTTTCTAAACTTCCAAACAACTCTGAGCTTCGTTAACTCAGACCTCGATAACACACTAAGCCATCAAGAGTTACAGAGCACTTCTAAAATTAAAGTAATTACACTCCGCGGCTGAGTAAAGATGTTTTCGCCAGCTCATTTTTGAATTCCATATTACTATGATGTTAAAACAATGGATCGAAAGCTTTTCTTCAAGTGTTGTTTCTACTCCCAACTAATATGAATATAAATATTTCCTAGTTATTCACCTTCCCAACGGTTTACCGCCTTATCGTGGCTGGGAGGTGTTCCTGGGTGTCGGCCTGAGATGTACAGCTGGGGACTCATCCCCCGGCAGGGTTTTCCATGCTGGAAAGGAGTCCGGCGTTCCTGTCAGGAAGCCAAGCTAAGAGTAAACCAATACCAGGATCCACCATTGTCCTGGTTAAAACTAGTCGCACGGTGGCAAATCTCTCTCTAATCCACAAAGGCGGTGACTGGCTGTAGCCGTGACGACCTGGGGCAGACTTTGGCCAGGCTGACCTCGGAACTCCAGCGAAACACAATTGCTAAACCAGCAAAACTCCAAAAAATGACGAATGTGGTAGAGCCCGCACAACCATTAAAGACGGGCTGTAAAGTAAATAAGTAAGTGGTTGTTGAGTGAGCCATAAGAGTCTAAAACAGGGGTACGCCCGAACCATGTTCATTTCTTAAACATACTATAGGAAGATTCCACAAGAAACAAAAAAGACATACGAGTAAAATCTACAGCGAAGACCTTGGGTTTGGCGTTTATAGAAGAAAAGGAAAGTCAGTGAATTGCTTCTAAGAAGAAAGTGTGACAAGAGGTTTCCTGGAAAAAATTAAACAAAACCGTTTACAACATAACAATTTATTGTTATAACATACGATTAACCTAAACAAGTTCTCTACTTTATCCCGCTCTCCATTCCTTTCTGCGGATGAATTTTCGTTGGTGATCTCCATTGGTGCAAACAACAAGTAAATTGGAGGTAGACTTTATGCGTGAACATCAGCACCAATGGAAGAAAAAGCAGAGCGTGAATCGTGCCTGGAAATCGACTATTTCATCGAAAAACTCTGTTCATCAAAGGAACTGAAACCCTTGAAGAATTCTTCACCTCTCCTTCATCCAACTATTAGCTATTTAAATGTCGGCAGTAACGTTTAGAAAGTTCATTATACTTCAAGTATTATCGCTAGTAGAGAGGATAACAACCAATAGCGAGCCTACGAAGTGCGAAAAACTGCACTAAGTGTATATACGTAACCTATATGCCGTGCTCCATCGTTGTCATTGGTATGCTCGCAAATTACCGTGTTACTGGAGGGAATGCCACGAAATTCCGAACTCGTTCTCTGTGTCTTTTACTAGCGCCGTAGCTGCCCATCCATTAGACACTGACCTGAGAAACATGAAAAGTACCACATATTTCGTGAGGCTCTCTATTTTTTCTCTTCGTAGAAAGTCATCCCTGGCTAACCCTGGATTAGGCTCTCCTGAAGCGCATCTGGGATTTGCCTACTAAAGTCGACTGCTAACATCCTTCCATAGACTTCCTATTCATTAGGTTGCAGTTTTTGGCGGAATTGTTACATAGGATTAAATTCGTAGCCATCCATGGGCACCAGTAACACGTGTACATATGAATATCAATAAAGACAGGCAAGAAAAAACATGGCAACAACTAACTGCTTCCAAAACCCTCACATTAGGAGAATAGCATACTTACATATTTAGGACTCGTTGTAAACATCTGAATAAATGAAAAAAATTCCTGAGATTATAAATGCTATGTTGCCTATTTATCCCATGATGGTATTAGTAATTATTTAATGAAGAAAACCTAGATAACCTCCAGCAATACGCGTATAGAAGTCTGCATCGAGAAACCACTCTGGTACCAATTCGTCGACCTACGTAGGTTGGGAGATTTGGTTGGCCCAGGGGCCCAGGGCGGAATCGAACTAAGGACTATGCAATGAACCTATAACTATGTCTTTCACGCAAAATGCAATAAAATGTAAAACGGCTATCAAGCAATCCTTGATGACTAAAACACGCTCTCCTTTCAGTTATCACCTCATAAGTCCTTTAATTTTGAGACATTCAGGAAATCGTAGATGCCATCAGAGGGTCGTGGAGAGAATACATAAAAGCCTAATTGAGGTGATATAGTCTGTGCTGAGAGTTGCAGTTTGTTCTATGTTCGCCGAAATCGTAAACGTGAAATTCTGCGCAAACCAATGATGTGGATTACTGCTAAAACAGCTCTGCACGGAACCACCCACCACAACGTCTTAGTGCCATCAGCGAAGGGTCATTCAGTGAACAATCGTCGATTCATCGCGGAAGACGACTGACTAGCAACATTGCAGTATAACATAATCATGTCGAAAGTAATACAGTTTCGACTTACCAAATACTATGACGAGCATAACAGTTTTAAAGCACGTTTGTACGACGTAGCTGTCCACAAACGACAGTGATGAGATGCCAAGCAGTACGGATAGTGATGCCTGAGTAATTGGCCAACCCACTGTACCCATGGTGTTTCGTAGACGAACGAACAACTCACTAAATTCAACAAAAACACCATCGTCTCAAAACATTAGGGACATTCTTTCATTCATCTGAAAAAAGAAAGAGCATAATTCCAATCTAAACAAGTGCAGTTATAATAGCTAACAATAGACTTTAAATAGTTGAGGGTCATTTCACGAGTGAACGGAAAGACCAAATACGTGAACACCGCAGACTTTGAATCAAAAACGTAAGGAAGTTCTGGATTCATCGAACTATAATATGCTGCTAGAACTATACATCTAACAATAATCACACCAATATTTAAAATATAAAGTGTTAAAGGGGTCGACGTCGAACTAACCTTGAGGATGTGCTATGCATTCGACTTGTAGCACCGCAGAGGTAACTGAGTGCATATTCACTTGGTACTTGAATGGTCCGTCCTCTGTGGTTGTGCGGGCCCCAGCATAATCCCCATTTTGCGGAGATTTGCTGGTTAAGCCTTTGTGGTTCCCTGGAATCTCGAGGTCAACCAGGCCAAAGTCTGCCCCAGGTCTTCACCACCACAGACTGTCGCAGCCCTTGTAGATCAGACGGAGATTTGCTACCATGCGACTTTGATACCAGGACGGTAGTGTATCCTGGTATTAGTTTACTCTTAGCTGGGCTTCCTGATGGAAACGCCGGACTCCTTCTCAGCTTGGGAGGCCCTGCCAGGTGATGAATCCCCGCTGTACATCGCAATCCGACACCCAGGAACATCTCCGATCCACGATAAGGCGGTAAACCGTTGGGAGGGCATATCCAGTCTATATAATGACTTGTGCGGGTCTATCGATGTACAAACGTCGTTATTTTACCCTTCCAGACAAGTCTGGTACCACTCTGGTAAGCAGGAGGGCTTGTTCATCCGGGCATTGCATGTGAACTTTCTGCCCATCAAGAGAAATTCCTTCACTTATTGAAACGAGTGACACAGAAGAAAGAGTAAAAGTTATCAAAAAAACATAAGCTTTAGAACAGGAAAGGAATGAAATGCTTCAAAATGTTTTGGAAAAATGTCTCCATACTCACTCTTGTACATCATCACTTATCTTCTGTGTCATAAACGCATACGAAACATGTGCGGCGAAATCTGTAAAGCGAAGTCATATCCGTCAATTCTTTCCCGATTATTTTAGATGTTACGACTTTTAAAAAACGTTGAGTCTTAAAAGAGCTGTTTCATTTCAGCCTAATTTAACATTCAACAAAACGAAGAAGAGGAAGAACAAGACGAAAGAAGAAAGAAGAAGTGAGGAGAAAGGAAAGAAATAGAGGACGAAAACATTGTTTGGCTCCTCAGAGACATTCCAGATATCATAGGAATCAAGGAAGTCATTCACCAACAGAGAATCCGACGCTCATCGCTATTGTGATCATCGATGTCGCATCCAGATTTACTCCAAGAAACGGCATGATGCCGATCACCCCAAATGCTACGGACGCTATCGACGCGCCAATCAATGGTGCACAGAGCGGTTGAGGTATAAACAACGCAGCGACGCATAGCATAACAACTGAAACGAATATTGAATAAAAAATTGAAGAAATTAAGAAATCCGTCTATTAAACTTCATCTGCTGAGGTCACGAAAGTACTTGACTTAGTAGATTACCGGTCAATTTGACTTTTCCAGCCTCTGAGGGGGGAAAACTCGAAACGTCAGCTACTGTGAATGAATAAATATTGTAATAACAAACTCGTGTTTGCTCATTAAGAAGACGGTGAATTAGTGATCAAGAGTGTATTGCGGTTTACTGGGGATCTCTACGTCATAGAACAAGAAATAGTGAATAATGAATACTATGTGACACATCTGAGTGGACAGAGTGGACCGCTTGCATTGAATACAATGCGTACATTTCCCGACAATTTATCTTAAACGAAAGATTCATTTGCTACACTTCTGCACTCAACAGATAGCTTATCCAGCCTAACCAACCTAGATGTTGTGCCAGACGTTCCCCATGAAACGCTATTCTTTAATATATAATGCTGAGATATTTGCAAAACTCCGGACCGCAGGTGTATGCGGTGGAGAACGAACGTGCGCTATTGTCCTTTCCGGGGAGTAGCGCACTTCACCACCACACCATCCGGGTCCTTCGCTTTGCCTGTCTCTTAGCTAGTTCTATTNCGAAAGATTCATTTGCTACACTTCTGCACTCAACAGATAGCTTATCCAGCCTAACCAACCTAGATGTTGTGCCAGACGTTCCCCATGAAACGCTATTCTTTAATATATAATGCTGAGATATTTGCAAAACTCCGGACCGCAGGTGTATGCGGTGGAGAACGAACGTGCGCTATTGTCCTTTCCGGGGAGTAGCGCACTTCACCACCACACCATCCGGGTCCTTCGCTTTGCCTGTCTCTTAGCTAGTTCTATTGATCTTTTGCCATCAGCAATCACCCGTCAACGGGATTGATCTGGAGAGCCCAAATCGGCATTGAACCCTGATGGCAAAAGATCAATAGAACTAGCTGAGAGACAGGCATAACTAAGGACCCGGATGGTGTGGTGGTGAAGTGCGCTACTCCCCGGAAAGGACAATAGCGCACGTTCGTTCTCCACCGCATACACCTGCGGTCCGGAGTTTTGCAAATATCTCAGCATTATATACGAGTTATATTTCGCAACATACCCTGCCATTAAAAGAAAAACGCAGTAAATAAAAGGGTTAAGGTTCTTTTGGACGAGCTTTCGTGTGGTGCAAAAATTAACCGTAGCCTATGGTGACTGCCACACAAAGTTAGCCGTGGTTCCGTATATGCTAGCTAAAGATGCTGCTAAGACTGCTCAAGTACATCGAAATTCGTAAGCAAATGCTTAAACAATACGACTTCGAATGGCTGATGATACTGTCGAACTTTTGACTTTGATTTTCTCGCTATTGTTTTTTTATGGCAAGGTATTATTTGAAGCACAACCACGAGGATCCAGAGATATGTGCAAAACACAGAACTTCAACTGGGCTTCGTAGCAGCGACTACCCTCTCCGGCGACTCACGCACAATCAGCCACACCAACCCTTGGTTTGCTTTCTCTCAGCCAATTTTTTTTTACCCTTACGGTGTAATCAGCAATCAGCTTTCAACGGCAGTGATCTGGGAAGCACAAATCAAGATTGGACCCAGTTAAGCTGACACTGCAACCGAAATCACACTGTTTTAACTTTAATTTACCGCCCATTCCTTTTTATAGCATTGAATCGGATGATATCGTCAAAACAAAGAATGACTGGATCAATATCTGCCCACCAATCGATATGTAAAGATCCTGAAGTGTTTGCGGCCACATAATTTCGTATTGATCGGCGAGATTCCATAGCGGAGTATAGGTGCTGGCGGAATATTCTGGATGACCATCGCAAATTGTTCTAGAATGTCAACACCACTTGTTCAGCCACGGTATTTAGTCATTGCGTGAAATTTCACTTTAAATTCTTATTATGAATTAATTATGGTTGTAATTCAAGAGATAGATTCCGAGTATGTTACACAGAAGACAACCTAGAGCCTCTCCAAATGGACGATAAGGAGTTAACATGAAGACAAGAATGAAGACGTTCTTCCACTGAGATGCTTCGGAGCATACACAGATTTGTCTGGAACCCGATGCATGTAACTTGTGTTCACATATACGTGTATTAGTTAGCTTGAGTACTTGAGCGTATTAAAGTATCTTGAACTTCCCCTCCTAAAGGTTTACCGCCTCATCGTAGCTGGGAGATGTTCCTGGGTGTCGGCCTGCGATGTAAAGCGGAAGATTCATCCCTGGCAGGGTCCCCCAAGCTGGAAAAGACTCCGGCGTTTCCGTCAGGAAGTCTAGCTAAGAGTAAATCAATACCAGGATCCACAACACCACCTTCCTGGTATCAAATCGCATGGTGGCAAATTTCCCTCTGGTCTACAAGGCCTGTGACTGCCTGTGGTGTTAAAGACCTAAGGCAGACTTTGGCCAAGCTGACCTCGGGATTCCAGGGAACCACAATGGCTTAACCATCAAATCTCCGAAAAATAGAGATTGTGCTGGGACAACCAGTGAGGACAGGCCATTCAACTTCAAGTATCAGGTACTTTGAACTTCCATTATATTTGAATTCTTAATCAAGTGAATAAAAAGTCTATATTAGATGGTTAGAGACGACCGTCAAGAAGCAAGCACCATGTTTATTCATGGATAGATAGACGTGAAAACACCCTGAATCCCGGCCACCTACAAACTGCCATCCAACTCCAAGAACAGTAAAAACGAAAAGCCACACACAAAAACCATTATCCATCATCGCGTTCCTGTAAAAATATGCAATATGCTAATGGACAGCTTTAGAGCCGGTCGGATGAGTGCTTCACGGGTCACTGAAATCATTACTTAATTAAGGGTGTTACTGTGAAACAAGTGAACAACGTGTTATCATTAGTACTACTATTATTTATCTGAATACTTGGATACTTTGACGGGCCACCCTCACTGGTTGTGCTGGTCCCAGCATTTTCTCCAATTTCCGGAATTTTGCTGGTTTAGCCACTGTGTTTTCCTGGAGTTCAGAAGCCAGCTTGGCCAAAGTCTGCCCCAGGTCGTCATCACCTCAGGCAGTCGCCGAGCGACATTTACCACCATGCGACTAGTTCGATTCCAGAACGGTGTTGGAACCTGGTATTGGTTTACTTTTAGCTAGGCTCTCTGATGGAAACACCGGACTCCTCAGCTTTGGAGACACTGCCTGGAGAATGAATCCCCTGCTGTACATCGCAACCCGACATCTAGGAACACCTCCCAGCTACGATGAGGCGGTGAACCGTTGGGTGGACTATTATTAATAAACCGTTATTAATTTATATTAATTGATATTATTGCAATTACTGTTGCATATTAACGCATTACTAAGGTTCCATAATTATCAACCGACCTCATCCATTGTGCACAACGATGAATTAGCTCATCAGATGAAACGTTTCGTAGTCGAGTAGACAGTCTGAATGCCTGCGTGGTTCCATTTGAGTAACGTAGCACGTCGTACGAGTACTTATCATTAGCCAGGAAAAAACCACGTGAATTTTCAATAAAGCTCTAAACAACATAACTTAGTGCACCGTGTATAGGCAGTAGTCTGTAAAGATGAGGAAAAATACTGGGAATATTAAAGCTACAGGACTTATTGGAAATGTCAAAAACTGTGCTTTCTTATTCGTTTATTCCAATGTGCTTGACAATTTCATCTCTCTGTTGGCAGTGGCTTCACTATGGAGAGTGTATCTCACTGTACCTACACCACATAGCCCATCAGGTTCGCCAATTTGAATAGTCCGACATTCCATTCGAAACTTTAGCAATGGCTAAATCAAGGCCAGCAATATTGCTGTTATGGAGGTAACCTGGTCGCTAAGCGGAAAATTCTTCTATTCTGATTCCACCGCTGGAAAGGTCGCGGATGGCCCACGGGGATAAAATACCAACGCTTTGGCGCATGTTTTTCAGGACCTCGGGAAAAACTGGCCCACCTTTTGCAACTAGCAAAATGCCAGTTGGAGCAAAATTGTGTTGGGATCCATACATTTTGTGAGGATGCTTTCCAAATAGATCTCATCACGACGCTGGTAACGATGGATAGTTCGTAATTTAAATAAACTTTAAGTTCGAGCAATTTTGCCTGTGTTATTTCTATTCTTGAGTAAATGAACAAAAGACGTTTGTCATGGCACAATGCTTGCATTGTGTGAGGTTGTTCGATATAAGTAGATAAACGGATAAGTGAATAAGTAAGTAAAACACGAAGTAAATGACACACTGAGTGGAAATTGTTTACAGCACCAGAGCATTTGAGAATAAATGCGTGAGCAATTATAGTACATTCCAAATTCTAAATTTTTCCCTGGAATGAAAAGAACTGTAAAGTGGACTCCACGAGAATGCAAACGTCCCCTAGGACGGTCACCTACACGTTGGGCCGACTTGTTCGTAAACAAGGTTAATCAGCTGTACCCGCAGCAGCAGTTATCTTACAGGTCACGGTATGAGACTCGTACACGCCATCATGCTCGAATAAAACCACCACCATGGACGACGACTGCGAAAGAAAGAAACGAATAGCATATGTGCTGGAGTACCACACCTCGTCGAGACAGACGATCAAAGTATGCAAGTAGTCAGTGGAATTTTTACATATGGTGGTAGACCATGTCATCGCACGGCCACCAACAATACCAAAATAAAATCTCTTTAAAATTGCACTTGGAAAGTTAGGCAACACCTCTTCGTCATCAGTCATGTCATTCCACGTATCACCGAATCCCAACGTTTTCATGTAGTTTTCAAACGAGAAGTACCAGAATTCAGTGCTGTTACGGCCAACCGAGCACGACGTACTCTAAACCAGAACTGTTATAGCACTCATTCACCCATTGCTGGAGAAATAGAAACTACCTCGATTTTCTCCAGAAATCTCAGGAACAGTAACCTTTCGTTGGCGAGTGCCATGCTGGGTGGTCGCATCACCGCAATATTCATCCGTGTAATATCATCGGGGAAGAATTTCTTTCGTAACTCCAGGAAATTTCGTGGTCGTGACTTGACAAGCACGATATTTATCAGCTATATTAACTATTGTCATTACAACGAGCTTAAACTTACGAAATTTTCTGAGCATTATCTACAATTCGAGTAAATCATCATTACTGCAATAGAATAAATGCTCGGATTACAATAACAGTGAATTGAAAGTTATTTCAACCAATGATCTACAAACTACCCACATCGAATCCTACGACGACTTTCTGTATCCCGGCAACTGCAATACTTGCGTAAACTCCAAAGAGAAAGATAGAGAACACGACAGTCCATCGATTGACAATAAATGACGCATAGCAGTCCTCAAAGAACTTCTGGTACCACATCCGTTTGCGTACAATCGAAATCTGAACCTTTACTGACACAGAAGTCGGACAAGAAAGAAGACCATCAAGGAAGTAGACCAAAAAATGCTACATCTAACAAAACAGTAGAAATGGTGGGAAAAATTCGCTAAATGGAGTTCAGAGACTTACACATGCTGAACCCTGCGTGTAGTTGAACTTCTTCTCGATATCATTATTATTCTCAGACCTGTACACTGAATTCTCTGGCTCTGCCATCTCTGATCCCATGTGAAATATCAGATCGTACAGCGTCAGCTTCTCTTTAATAAGTAGCTTTATTCGCTATTTATCATGACTAATACTTAATGAACATCAAACGCGCGACAAGAATTGGGGTTCAATAGCGGCCGATCGATAAATCGATCAGTGGAATTTGTAATTGACTAGAGAATATTTCACACAGTGTTACCTGGAAGTGCTAAATCTTTCACGGGATTCATCAGAAGAGAATTGAAATTTTTTGCTTCTAATCGTCCTTGCAATGCCAAGCAACCGACAAATATTGTCAAACAGTAAAGAAAGATGAAGACAATGGCGGCAAACGAGTACAGACAGAAAAACTTCACCTAAACTCCATTGTCTTTGCTTCGCATGGTTTTTCCAAAATTGAAGTTATGCTAAATAAATAAATAAATATAACCACAATAATGCTGAGATATCTGCAAAACTCCGGACCGCAGGCGTCTCCGGTGGGAGACGTCTCCGTCTCCGTTGCTTCCCGCAAACGCGCTGTTGTCCTTTCCGGGGGTAACGCGTTCAGCACCACTCCATTCGATAGCAAACTAGTTGAGAGACAGACGAAACGAAGGACCCGCAAGGTGTTGTGGAGAACCCTGCGGTCCGGAGTTTTGCAAATATCTCAGCATGTCTGTGGTTATATCACACATAATACCCTGCCATGAGGAGCTGTAATAGGCAGTAAGGAAAAAAGTTAAAACCACACATATATATTTTACATCCTTGGTCATCACTGCATCCATATATTTATTTCTTATCTGCAACATTATTCTTGATTATCTTCTAGCTGATATTCTACGCTTAGTTGTTCTTTTTCATTCACTTCCATTGACAAATGATTGAATTAGTATGTGAAAAGGGACAAAATCAAAAAGGCAGTCAAGCATGTGGCTCTGTCGTCTTAAAAGAATTCTCGCACACTGAAGCCACTTTAAAAAATATCAACAAAAGAGAAAACCAATACCAGGAATCACGAAAGTTCTATTATCAAACTAGTCGCGTGGTGGCAAATCTCCCTTTTATCCACAAGGGGCGGCGACTGCCCGGGCTGATGACGACTCCAGAGCGGCTTCGACTAGGCTGACCGCGGGACTACGGGAAACCAAGCTAACTAAACCACCAAGGCTTCAGCCTCAGTATTCCGCAAACTCCGCCTACGACATCGGGGGCTGAGACAAGTGGTGGTCATATCTCGAGCTGCACAGGAAGTCATAGGAAACGGACAAAACGAGCACGTCCACGACATACCATGGAGACTGATGCTTGCTTTGCACCTAAAACGCGGAGCGACCTCTCAGGATTTCGACCCTCCCGCACTTGTTGAGGCTGCTGACCAGACCAAATTCTTTATGATCGCCTTACAAGAATCTAAAAGCAGGAAGACCGACACACGCCAATTAGATGACTGGACCCTTGTCATTCGTGGAAAAAAAATTTTGTTACGAATTGTCGGACCCCTTTGCTTTGTTCTGCATCCATCTATTTCCGATCTCATCATCTCATACGAAATCTTGTCACCGCGCTTGGTCATTCTTTATCTCCAATTTGTGCGTCAAAAGAATGTCGGTGACATCAGCTATTACTCACCAACTTGTACATCCCTTGAGAGCAAGCCGTTGTTGACGACTTCAACACTAGATTAGCAACAGCCAACGAAAATTAAAGAAGAAAGGGGAGATTTGGAATAGGAGAGCGAGAGGGGAATGGAAACCGTCTTGTAGGACTCCTGTCCGCAGCACTTCTCTTCCACGCGAATTCATTTTTCGAGACGAGAGAGAATCCCCGCTAGACATGGGAGTTTGCTGGCGGCACGACTTGGGAAGATTCAATTCAGACACAAGCTGGAAAAGAACTCCTGTCGTCGTCCAAGAAAAACGAAACAAGTGGTGTATGACAAGAATGTATGACAAGTGGTGCATGACAAGATGGCACTATCACTGTATTGCACGATGATATGGAATTAACACCGGAAAAATTCTATACCAATATTTTCCACTCTACAATCACCGTCTCGGATTCCGAAATCCTCCCTGGTAAACAGCCTCTTGCGATTCTACCCTTTGAAGTTCGAGTTGCAATAGAAGCACTAGGAGAGTAGATCTCCAGGAGCAGAACATGCAGACTGTTATCTGAAAATCAGAACAAATATACAGATTTTCATCAACGCCTCAACATGCGCACAGGAAAAGGGTTCGACAGGGTGACGCCATATCGTCGAACCTGTTTAGTGCCTCAGTGCAGTGGATGGATGATGAAGTCACTCAACTGGAACGAGGAGGGCATGCATATTGATGAGAAATTTATATCAAATCTCCGTTTCACGAATGGAATCGTCGTCTTTCTAGGAGTACCATTGAATTACAGTCGGTGCTTAATAATGCTTAATAAACTCAACGATACCGTAAGAAAAGGTTAGACTGCGTAAAATAGTACAAAAACCTAGTTCATGAAAAACGCAAGGTGCGAAGGCGAATAAATTGAACTGGATGGTTCCCTGTTTAGAATCAACTGAATGCAAGCGTCCTCTGAAAGAGCATCCAAACGATGGTGGACATGTTCGTGGATAATGTCTATTATATGCATAAGCCAACGATTTCAGGACTATGGAATGAGCCTCGGAGCTCACCACGTTAAGAGTAAACCACCACCATGGACTACGATTACGCGAAAGCGAAGGGAATGAAAATTGTGTTGGGGCCCGCAAAACCAGTGAAGTCGGGCCATCTAAGTAACCAAGTAGAGAGGAGATGTCTTTCAGCTAAGCAAATTATTTTCAAATAAAAACCACTTTCAACCACTTTTTCAAAACTTAAATAAGGTAACTGATAACAGTTCCCAAGATCGACTTTCTCTTAACCTCGGCATTGGAATATGAATGTGTCGTTTTCTTGTTCAGCAATCGCGACGTTTTTAAACAGCATACATTTACTTCCATA